TCCAGCAATATCACGGCGGGGGCCACCAGAAATGGGCTTCACACATTGTACCCATGTGGGGAATCTAACCAGGGTCTTCGGTGTGACGAGCCAACGCTGTAACCGCTAGGCTACCCCACCGCCCCGCCGGACAAAATGGTGATGTTTACTTTGTATTGATTTTGTTCCCAGTTCATATCTAGATGTTTTTTGTTTGTTCTTTAACGCCACACCCAGCAATATTCAATCTATATGGCGACGGTCTGTAAATATTTGTTTGGACCAGGCAATCCAGTAATCAACATCATGAGCATTGATCTACGCAATTTGCTGATACCATGATATGTGTCAACCAAGACAGCAAGCCTGACCACCCGATCCCGTTAGTCTAGTCTTACAACAGGCATGAGTTGCTGAAGATCAATATAAGCCTGGAACTTCACGGGTACATATGTTCAAGAGTCTTAATAGCTTCCTCTTCCGACCGGTTGCCGAAGTCATATGTGTAGATGTAATGACAAGCCAGCTGGTTACCAAGTGAACACACAGGCCACTATTATTGATGTTAGACGCCAGCTCCTTCCAGGTATTGTGCTAAGGGTTCCTTTACATTCACAATAAACCAGGAGAAAGATACTCTGATACTCTCAAGTCAGAGAGAGAATGAAGGTGTTACTATCTCAATTGGAGGCAATACGCTCTGCGAATCTTTACCGATACATATATATGGGCCACTATGCAAGAAACAATACTATCAGGTGGTCATGATAGACTATAACTCTCACGGACATTGTGTGATCTGTACCACATTATAAAATGTTGAATCATTGCTTTGATCTCCGTGTGACCTGGCCTGACCTATACGTGAGAACATCATCTGACAATCCATCTTCATGATGAACTGTTCAGTAGGTTTTTTTTTATATTGTATTGTCCAAAAAGTGTTATTTGTTTTAACTTAACATACTCGTTTTAATTTAACTGTGATAATCTAGTTATTTTACTTTCCTTTGATGATAGGTTTTATAATGTACTTATTTTCTTTATCAGAGTCAAACTTGTTCTCGTCACGATATGACTGAAACATTGCCGATGTGACGCTAAATATTAACTCACTCACTCACAACTAACGTTGAATGATGAATCCCGGCAGAGTGAGTTTTATGCACTGTGGGTCCATTTCATTCGTAGCCAATAGGAGAATGATATATGACGAAAAGAGCGCTAGTCATGCTTCACTTCACACATAAGTGACTGCTTAAACGCACCTGTTATTTGTCTGGTAGGGGTAAAATTCAAAATAGATTTACATTTCCTTTTATGCCCCAAATGCAAACCTGTGGTAATGAGTTGGACTTTGGGCAGCGATTTTAAAGTTTCAACCAGACATATACTAACTCATCTGTTAGGCAACGGTATCCCTTTGTTGTGTCCCCTGGTTCGAAAACCGGATAATTCCGATGTTTCAATTATTTTCTACACTTTGCCCGTGAACATCAATGTTACCTTAGATGTGACCATTTTGGCTTTTGTAATTATTTTCAAATTAACGACGCTTTATCTGCATTAGCAAGGACGTAACGGTTACTACAATGACAACTTGCTACTTTCAACGACCAGTGCTCGAAACACTGTAATTGTGACCGAGCTAATGAGAAACCAAATGGTACTTTCTTCAAAAGTGCGCCTGCTGAACCATGACACTCTTTGTGTCTGTAGTGTTACCATGTTACTCCTAGATCTTATCACCTGTGGAAGTATGAATGTGCACTACCATTATTGAGTTAATAAGTTGCTTCAGTTTCATACAACCAAACTGAAGCAGACTGAAGCAACTTATTTACTCAATAATGGTAGTGCGATCCCGTTAGTCGCCTCTTACGATAAGCATGGGTTACTGAACATTGAAGATCAGTTCTAACCCGGACCTTCACGGGTCTCAGACCTAGCAGCTTGGAAGGCCAGGGAAGGACATCGACGTTTGCATTAGCGAAATAGGCACCTGTTACACGAAGAGTGTGGAGTCGAGATTTATCGTGTTAAAACCGTTCCATCTGGCGCTTAAAAATTCGAAGGACGTGAGGTCGCAGGATTTCGCCGATTTAGCGATTTGCCATAAGATTGCTATTTTTAATCGTAGCATATATGTTATTTTTATTTATGGCTAGATTATCTAAAATTGCCCATAGCTGAAGGAATGGTGTAAATCCAGCTAGGGTCCATGCAGGAAACAAAGGTATTGTAAGTCCCCATGGACCCTAGTATGGTGATCTACCTTCAGTTGTTGGCGATCTTTTCTATTGTCTTGTCATTTATAGTTAAAGTATTTTAGATTTAATTACTTGTTTTAAATGTATTTCTGTGATAATCTAGTTATTTTACTGTCCTTTGCAGACAGGTAAGTATATTTGCTAACTTTCTTTTAATTCATTTATATATGTACAACTTTCTTAGTCACGATGTGGCTGAAATACTGCCGATGTGACTTTAAATTTTAACTCACTCACTCAATGTAAGATTGCCTTGAACTACCACTGGCTCTGATCTACCCATGCAGAAACATGGCTTCCTACACCATGACCCTCTCTCTACCAAATCTGTCCCCTGTAGAGTGCTCCTCTGCACAAAACGTTCGTGTTGACGTTGATAAACACGTTGTCTCACACCCCGTCGTCGCAGGGGGTCCTCGCTGAACCAAATGCGTTCCATGCGTTCTCCAGGCTCCATCCCAGTACCCTGTTGCACCACTGGACACGTTGTTGTCCGTGTAGGCGTGCCAGCACATGTGCAAACCTTTGGTAAATATGATTTCTGATGGTGTGGTCGGAATTCTGTGAAGAACAGGCACCTGTCCTGCTGTGTCCGTTGCTGTAGCAAATCGGTGACGTAGGTAAAAAGCCGGGTGACTCGGTCCTGAGCGGGAGTGGTCACTCTTTTTCTGCCCCTTTTGGCTCAAAAGGAATATTGTGTTCTAGATAAAAAAAACCAAAACAAACCAACTGAATTAATTTACACTCTTCAAAAGAAGAAACGCATAGGCGTTTCCAGCAGTTCGTAAGAGGCGACTAACGGGATCGGGTGGTTAGGCTCGCTGACTTGGTTGACACATGTCATCGGTTCCCAATTGTGCAGATCGATGCTCGTGCTGTTGATCAGTGGATTGTCTGGTTCAGACTAAATTATTTGCAGAGCGCCGCCATATAGCTCGAATATTGCTGAGTGTGGCGTAAAACTAAACTCGCTCACTCACTCGCTAGATCTAAACCCGATCAAACGTCTATGGGGCGAACTTGATCGACGCGTCCGTAAACGTCACACTCGTCCTCAGACACTTGCAGGACTTGTCAACGCGTTGCAGGGGGAATGGTGAAGAATTTACCAAACAAACATCCGACGACTTGTGTAATCCCTTCCATGACGGCAGCAAGGGGTGGTGTCACCAGGTGCTGACCTGAACGCCCCCTTGCGTCCACGCATTTGCTGTGAGTAAGAATCACTGAATTACTGGTGACAATGCCGACAATACATGTGTTTATCCGTGTGTCGAATTTCCCTCACCTTAATCGACTTATGTACATTTAAATACGCTGAATACATGTCCTTATGTTTGGCCTTTGCGTTTCTATTTTTGAATAGTGTCAAAAATTATTGATATATGCAACCGATGTCATTAGTATTTACATTTTGATGATATAACTCATCCATGTATGATTTGAAGGCTTACTTAATGAATATATAATTATAAATGTCACATAAACATGACTGTTTTAACAACATATGTAAATATGTGTGACCACACTAGAGGATTTGATCACATGTATTGATCTTTCGTCACGATATGGGGTCTAGGACAACTGCCACCCAAAACATAAGAAATTAACTCGGTCTTTTTACCAATTTTTATTGAGTTTCACAAGGAAGCATAACAAATAATAACATATTATTCTATAAAACCAAATTTCAGCAACACAAGACAGATCTAGAATTTAAGACCAATCACTATTAAAATAGCAATGTATTAAATGGAGTTGCATATGAAGCTTGTGCTGTTACTTTCATAATACACTTATCATTGCGCTAATCATGTTTGCAGTCACAGCACTAGTAAATAAATGTTCAATTACATGTGTTCATGTACACAGAACACATTTCTCAAAGTTCGTTACATCCTGATGCTGTCGGCACACTGCGCAGAAAGTCCACACACATTCAACTTGGGTAGTCAGTGGGGATTTCTTGCAGTCGTTGTTGGCAATCTCTGTATTGCTTCCGGGATGGCGCAAAATTCATCTCTGACAGCATCTGTGTGATCACTGAGGGCTTATTCTCGTCTCAGGACGTCCAGGAACCTCCAGATGGATGGTTGAGACATGTTGGTTAAGAGGCGCCGGTGCCACCCCTTGATGTGATTGTTGGTTCGGGGTAGGCAATCTAGCGTACTCTGGTGCTATACATAATCCACTACTGCCTGTAGGCCTGAACTCTGGATCCGTCTATAGACAATTTGGCTCAAGTGATAGAAACATCCATTGGTCTCAGCATCGGGGAACTCTGCCACAGCAGCATTCCACATGTCCCTCTCGTAGTCCAGCATGAATGAATCAGGAGCACAATCACACAAGTCCTTCATCCGTGAAAATACTTCCCAGTAGGTAAGCTCCTGCGTGCTACGCAAGAGGGCAAGCACACATAGGACAACACCATCAGTTGTCAGGCAGTGAATGGTGATTCTACCATGACTTCAGTAAATACTGGATTGTGACTGGTTAATTAAAGTCATTTAGAGGTATATAATCACGTATATACCTCTGATTTCCCAACACAGTATGTATTTTTGTTTTAATCTTAATAACGCGGTTATGGTAGAATGGAGATAAACATACCGTGTTGAAAAATCAGAGGTATATAAAACGAAATTATAATAGCTCTATTTTTTCATTTAAAACCTAACGCGACGCATATGGTTTTACATTAAATCTGGAGCTATTATAATGTCGTTATATAACTCTGGTTTTCCAACTCAGTATGTTTACCTCCTATTTCTACCATGACTACTGTAAATACTGGATTGTGATTGGTTAATTAAAGTCATTCAGGGGGTATATAATCACGTTCTATACCTCTGAATTTCGAACACAGTATGTATATTTATATATATTTAATCTTAATAACACGGTGATGTCAGACGGAGATAAACATACTGTGTTGAAAAATCAGAGGTATATAAGGACATTATAATAGCATCAGCTGTCAGGCAGTGCATGGTGAATAACTGATGGTACAGATGTGGGGCAGTCTTAAACGTTCCATCCGCGAATCAATGGGATGATCTCGACAGACGAGCCAGATTTCTCGGCATAGAGAAGATCAATATGCGGCTAGGAATGTCTTCTTCCCCGCCAAATTACAGGAAGGTCTCTCTATCTCCACTCAACCTTTATATATCAGGGATGATCATGGAGGCTGGACTCTCGGGCTGGATGAGTAATTGCCGATTTGGCGTAAAAAACTCACTTTCTGCAATGCTACCACAACTACTAACATTACCACCTCTACACGTCCTATCACAACAATTATTACCTTTATTTCTAAAACCTTTCTACGGATGGATTTCGTACATACCTACAACCTCCATGACGGAATGCACAGAGAGTGTGTGTCTGTCCTTTGAACTCATGGATTGCTGAAACATTTCACAATATCACATTAGACCATATTTAAAACCTTGCTCGGCTACAACAGCCTGCGGGTAACATTAACACAGTGCACACTGACCATGACAAACATACAACTGTAATGTGATGCTGGCTCGTGTGCAATGTTTCCCTTGTACAGTACACCAGCCGAACCCACAGCTTGTACGCATGCTGGGAAATGAATGTGTCCCCAGATGCCTGTGGGACCAATTTGTCATATGTATCTTTTTACACAGGTGGTTAAGTTAAATAACATTCACCTGACCTCGGACACATATGACAGAAACGGTAAGATTGTTGCATGTGCTCTTTTAATGATATTTATTTTTTGTATCGCGCCTTTTCCAGGACATTCTGATCATTATTACCCCAGATAACCCAAGCTCAACGTTAGGCGCTGGGAAGTTAACAGTCTCACGATTTATTTCCCCGGGTATCCATTATCTGCTTGGTGAAGAGAGGCAATTTTAAACGAACTCACTTGCCTACGTTAGCTGTTTTTACACATGTTTTAAACTTAAATGTCATTCAGCTGACTCCAAAGTAATCTGACTGAAACGCTAAGATTTGTGCTCAAGGTTTTGCTTACGTTAATCATAAACTTAAAGATTATTCAGACGATGATGAAATATGACATACGCAATGCTCTTTTTATACTTGTTTATCATTCAGCTAACTACAAGCAAATATCGCAGAAACGGCAAGACCTTGTAGGTGCTCTTCCACACAGGCCGTACCCTTAAATATCACTCATACTCTGTACTATTGTATATCAGTTGTTCGTGATGCTGTATCTGAATTATCTAGTCAGACGTGTTTGTAGGCTGCCGACTTATTGCTGATTGGTGCCAAGCAGTGCTGGGTTCTGTGTCAGGGAATCAAAACATGATCCGTGGAAGAAACGTATTGTGAAGGAAGGGCCTCTTTTTCGACACTCATTTTCAAATGTAAATAAAAGACTTAATGGGCGTGGAATGAACTGCACTTCTCGACTGGTATTTATACTTTTATCACTAAGCTATCCTGGGGAGTATATTTATGTGGTATATATGTCTCCATTGGTCTCTGAAATAGCAAGTATTTGTTGTTTAAATCTGCGAACTGTAATATCCAGTTGTAAGGTGTCTGTATGACAATAATCATCTTGACCAAACAATTCATTTATGGACTTCTCGAGTTGTCATCTACTCCTATAAACCGCTACTTAGTGATTACAACGGGACAACGGGGATGTTCCAAACTCGTTTCATTTTTTTCTGAAGCTGCAGTTGCTGTGAAGTAGTTTCCTTCCTTAAAATCGATAATTATTAATAATCCTGTGGCTTTGACTCCGAGGTCCATCCATGGTACGACCCTGAAAATGTCCAGGGCGTCATGGAAAATGATGCTTTCAAACTTCTGTGGAATAGGCCAATATACAGCCTCAGAAGAATTCCTGCCAACAAACCTGATCTTGTCCTTTTTGATAAAGCCAATGAATTTATATATATCATTGAATTTTCTGTCCCTTTTGACAGGAATGTGATTGACAAGATCAAGGAAAAGCATGATAAATATGCGGACCTCGCCTTTGAAATGTCTCGCTTGCATCCCAAGTACACTGTCGTCAGGCTCCCCATTGTTCTCGGTGCCCAAGGTTTGGTACCTCCTGATCATTTGGCGCAGATCAGGAGAGTGCCCGGGTTTTTCCACCGGGAGCACAGCCCTTCTGACACTCTGGGTAATGCAGAAGGCTGCAGTGTTGGGGACCCTTCATATTCTCCGGAAAGTTCTTGGTGGGTTCGACTAGGCAGCGTTTCCTGGGAGAAGTCCCATTCGCTGTCTGGGCTGCGTGTAGAGGGGGCAAGGGCCCTGAGCTGATGATGAGCCTTACCAGCTTGACTGTGCCAGGATCACCCGAACTCTCTCTGCTGCATACAATCTGTAATCTGTAAAACATAATAAATGTGAACTTATAATGCGCCTTTTCCATGCACAAGGCCCATGCTCAAAGCGCCAACAAAGTGAGTGGATAATATACATATATACAATGAGGGACTAGTAGCTAGTCATAATGCAGTGAAAACAGATGAGTCTTGAGAAGTAGTTTAAAGAAGTTAAAGTCAACTGCTGATTTAATGGTGATAGGGAGAGAGTTCCAGAGTAGAGGGGCAAAGTTTGCAGTTTGAACCGAGGCACAGAGAGTAGGTTAAGATTCTGAGAACGGAGGTGTCTTTCTGGAGTGTATGGGGTAAGAAATTCTTTCAAGTATTCTTGGCCTATGCCATTGAGGCATTTGTAGACAAAACACAATAGTTTAAAGTCAATTCTTGATTTAACAGGCAGCCAGTGGAGGTTTTTCATGACAGGTGTTATGTGTGAGCGCTTTGAAGTTCTGCTTATGATTCGGGAGGCTGTATTTTGGACATTTTGCAATTTTGATAGCAGCTTCTGAGAAATACCAAAAAGGAGGCTATTGCAATACCTGTCCAAGTCCCTGGACCAGACCGTGTGCTGCATCACGACTGATGAGATGGCGTATTCTGCCAATGGCTCGTAGATGAAAGAACCATATTCTGCAGAGTTGATTTACATGAGTGTCCATCGCCAGGTGTGAGTCAAGGTCTTTAACAGAGTCCACTGGTTGTATCTCTGCATCTGCTACCAGAACAGTACTGGTGGTAATTTGTTTTTGCATTTGCCTGGATCCAACAACCATCACCTCAGTTTTGTCATCATTTAACTTTAGCAAGTTGTTTGTCATCCATGACTTAACATCTTTAGTACAGTCTGTTATTTTATGAAGACCAGTGTGAAAGTCCTTGGGAGTTGAGTTTTTCTGAAGTTGGGTGTCATCTGCAAACGAATGATGGAAACTGCCATGTTTGTCTATTACGTCTGCCACATCGGTCGTGTATGCTATGAAAAGAAGCGGACCGAGTACCGATCCCTGGGGTATTCCCATTACAGTCCATCGTTTACACACATTGACACAGACATGTTGCCATAAGGCAACACTTCAGAACAAAATACGCCATAAGAGAATAGATAGCAATGCAAGATACTGCGTCACTAATGTTTATTGATATTTACTTCCTAATGCATTACCTGAGCCAAAGACGAAGTCAGTATTCAACAATAACACCCATCGGCTATTGGCAAGAATATGTTTAATTGCTGTCAACAAGCACAACACGCTTACCTTTGGATTGACTTGATACTTGCTAGGAACAGAAATAATACTTTGGATGAGAGCGGACACATTGGAGTATATTCAAGACATCATAGATTTGTTTGTATATACATCCGACATCCCTGGAGCCAATGGTTACCTGCATGTACGTGTTTATTGTCTCACGCTTCACGGTGCGATATCCATCGATACTTCATTACTTCAGTTGTTGCCATACATCAGGAGAGACCCACGTTGGTCTGAACAAAGTCATTCTACAGTACCATCCAAGTTAATTTTCATCAGAAAATGTTATTGATTTCAAGTCGTTTTCTTTCTGTTACTTTTTGTTAAATCAATAAACATACTGGTCACAAGGAAATATTCAACAATACTTAAGGAAAACAGCGAAAATTAAATGTATTGACATGGACGTCTTTGGTGACAAACATGCGATCGTTACTGTGCAATACTAACTGGAAAGTTCTATTTAGAAGGAGAAGCATAAATATTATTTCCCAAAAATATCGACTATGTACAACTGACAAGTCATGTAGTGTTCACCTACTACGTCATCATTTTGCTATAGTCGCCGATATGAAACTGTTCCTACATCAAATGGGTAGTTGGATCCGCCAGATGTGAGTGTGTCTGAGGTATGTGACTTTCTGGTTAAGGGCGAGGTAGATATGAACGTCATGTACACCAGGATGTCACTGCTAACTGTCTACGTTCTGTTCTGTGTCACTAATGTTTCCAGTGCTTTAAGTCAGTTGGTGTACAACATGGACACTTGCACCAATGTGACATTTCACAGAAGGTCTGAGATGGACGATCTGGTGTTTACCGGGAACCTGATAGAAGAGATGAACCAGTTGGACATGAGGGCTGAATGCTTCTCTCGGTGTCAGTGGCGGGTTCTGTGTAACCTGGTCTTGTACAACCCTCTCACCAAAACGTGTAGACTGCACTCGCAAGCCTTTGACTCAAGTAGTGACGGCTCCTCTCAGCCTGGATGGCAGTGCTATGGCGGTAAGGGTTCTCATATTACCACTTCACTTTCCTCTGATGATCTCTACACTCATATTCAGACCTCTGATGATCTCTACACTCATATTCAGACTTGATAATCGAGTTGCACGAGCGTGCCTAAAGTCTAAACTGACACAAGATACTTACCACTGAATGATCTTACCCGTGAAGGTCCAGGTTAGAATTCGCAGATCGATGCTTCATGCTGTTGATCACTGGATTGTATGGTCCAGATTCGAATTTTTGCAGACCGCCGCCATACAGTTGGACAATTGCTGAGTGCGGCGTAAAACTAAACTCACTCACTCACTGAGTGAACTACACAGGAATGAGTAAGGTTTAACGAAAACGATAACAATATTATGATCGACATGTTGATCTCAGGTGTGCAGAATACTTTTCAAACAGTCAGGAAATTAAACATTAAAATTTCCCAAACCTTCTAGCATATTGGTAATTTTATGAAAACACCATTGCGATTAGTATGAAGAATCCAGCTGACCCAAACAGTTCAAACCATACTACGTACAATGTTTCAGTGTCGTGTGACGGGTACAGACTGGCTAATGCTCGTACAGATGCAGACATCATCAACACAGCCGTTGGAAACGTTTGTCAGCATCCCTTTAACGTCGTTGCTGCTAACAGAACATCATCCTGTCTGCGAGATGGATCTTGGGAAAGTGTCAGGATCAGATGCACTGCATGCCACATTGGCACGCCCGTGCCGTCTTTGGTAGGTTTCACCATGACCCTGGACCCTGTCCCTCACAGCGATCGTAACCCTAAGATGTAACTCCCACACTTTAACACAGACCTACGACAGCCGTAGCGCTACGATCGCTTTGTGGACGAGGCTCTGATTCCTCGTGCACATCGTGAAACATTGGCACCCCCATGTTATAGCATTATACATTATCCCGACTGTCTTGTTTTTTTTAGGCATGAACCTGTTTTTCGTTCTTCTTATACCCCATGATACCTTGGAGCGCCCTTGCTTTTATGGTGTACATGAATGTGATATCAGTTGCTCTTGCATCTCCTTCAGTGGAGCACCCTTGCAGTCTTTTACGATCTCAAAGTGATCCTCCATGATAAGTTTGGTATTTGTATGTGTTCCTAGTTCCTCAAGAATGTCTATAAACAATTCAAGTTTTTTAGAACACTATTCTTCTCATAAATCTTTGTTAGAACCGGAGTTTTATATTATGAATCTACAAGACAAATCGTTAATACAGGCGTTGTGTAAATTTAGAATTGGCTTTCATGATTTTAGAATTCATTATTTACGCAAACCCAATTGAGCTTTCAGTGATGTAAAAATTGTAATACAGGTAATATTGAAAGTGAACTTAATGTATTTTTGGTGTGTACCAAGTATTTAGATTTAAGAAGTAAGTATTTATCATTTGTATCAACACCTGTAGGAGATGAACAAATATTGTCCAGTCTGTTAAATTTTAAAACTATTGATATTATCAAATCTATTGGAATTTATTTAATACATATATTCAATGCAAGAAATGTCACCACAACCACCACGTGCATATAATTGTAGCACGTGTATTTGTACTATAGGCCTTTAGGCCCGAAATACTGAATAAAAATTAATCTCACACCTTGTGCTACACTTGAGTACTTCTGTCTGAAGTAAAGCCGCCATGTAGCTAGAATATTGCTGAGTGTGGCGTAAAACTAAATTCACTCTTTATATATTCTGCTAAAAAGTATTTCACCTCAAATCAAGTCTGTTTCATCTTCCTGTTGTTCATCACGATTAAACTATTCCTCATTCAGACAGAATAATGCTGACATGTTCTGTTAAGGGGACGTAACATGTATATATACGTGGACGATTAAGGGGAAGTACTTGTACCATGTGTTTATGCGTGGACGATTAAGGGGAAGTACTTGTAACGTTTGTTTATGTATGGACAACTAAGGGGAAGTACTTGTACCATGTGTTTATACGTGGACGATTAAAGGGGAAGTACTTGTACCATGTGTTTATGTATGGACGATTAAGGGGAAGTACTTGTAACATTTGTTTATGCATGGATGCTTAAGGGGAAGTACTTGTGCCATGTGTTTATGCATGGACGATTAAGGGGAAGTACTTGTAACATTTGTTTATGAATGGGCGATTAAGGGGAAGTACTTACAACATGTATTTATGCATGGACTGGTTATGCATCGAACTGCAATTTTATATAACGAATGATTATGACAAAATCGATCAACATCAACTAGGTTGTTCCATGTGGACAAAACACATGCAAATGTTTCTTATAATGAAGTTAAATGCCCCGTTAAAGTCACACAATTGTGATTGTTTTACAGGATTCAGCAACAACACGAACTGAAGTCCTACCCATTGACCTGGTTGCAGGCATGACGTTCAGGATCTCGGTTGCAGGAGATATCACCACGTGGTAAGGGAATTGTTGAAATATATGTGAAGTGGTTAACTGAATGTAAATATACGTTGTAGCTTGGAATTGGTTGTCATGTGACATATCTGTGCATTGTGTTACCCTCTGTTGCACTAAGGTTCAACGACTAAGTGCATGGTGGTCAAATTGTGCATGTGAAGTGTAAAGAGGAACAGTGGTTCGTAGTTCGAATCGTATGTAGAAGTAAACGTAATTATAACCGGCTACAAACACGTCTTTTAAGGCACAAGATAGGAAACATTAAAACATCACTATATGTGAGCGAGTGAGTGAGTTTAGTCTTGCTTCACTTTTAGCAATATTCAAGCAATATCACGGTTGGGCTATTGTGCTTGATACATTGTATACATTGTACTCATGTTACCTCATACATCGTACCACTCTGGAGAATCGAACCCGGGCCTTAGGCATTACGAGCGAACCATTTAACTACTGTGAACTATACAGTACTACACACATATACCAAGGCAAGAGATTCTTAAAGCAAGCATCCTTAAATGTCTGCAGAGTAGTAAACGTCGATGTCAGGACAGCAGATGACAAACATTCAAACATGACAGCAAGTCAACTATACATTAGTTCTCATTTATGTCATGGCACGAAACAACAGACATAGAAATATCCCAACATGTCAGCTATTCAGCTGTACACAGGAATGTCATGGCGACATAATATAATGTTGAGATCGCTTTTTATGATGTACGTACAGGAATAAGGTATCTTTTGAGCTGCCCAACAATGACCGTGTACTCACCTTGTCCCTCCGATGGAACTATTCACCACCAAGGCTGGCCTTTAACACGAGGCAAGGCGGAGTCTATGGAGAGGTGGATGACGAACACCAAATCGATGTGGACAACATCAACAACTACGAGCTTGACATCGAGATAGCGAGCACTTCCTTTAAGGTGGGTAGCTCACTGGTGAACTTTACAATATATAATTATGAAAGCAACAGACAGAAACTGAAATTTTGATAATACTTGCATAGACCATCAAAGATAACTGTTCTTCTACACATGATGTCCTGTTATGGTATGGCAAAGTGAAGTGATGCTCTTCAAAGCCACTTTTCTGTCAAAGGGTGACAACTAGGAAGAAACTAGACTTTGAACCACCAACTACTAAGCTGTGTTCATGGCCAAAACTGGATCCCACCCGATGCCCTGAGCTGTTATTATGACATGACACTATGTATACATAAGCAGAATGGCATACACTTTCCATTTCTAAGGCAGTTTCCATAGTCCTTAGTGGGATTTTGACAAGTTCCTGGCTTTGCGTTTAGTACATGCTAAAACACCACATGGGACACACGTACACTCAAAGTCAAATTGAGCACCGTATGGTGCAAACAAGGCGCAAATCCATTATTATATGTCAATTGTCACATTGAAGTAGTGGAGTGTGGAATGAGCACTTCAACCAAGATGCATGTCTCTTCAGAGTTGAAGCTGAAAGATGAACAAGCATATTCATTCTGTAAAGACACAATAACAAAGAACTCCTTTCATTAGAGAGCTGGCATCGGAGGACCTGACCTCAAACATATGTAGAATTAGCAGCCATATTATAATGAAAACAACGTTGTTATTATGAAATACCTGCCAATGAAAGACAATAAAACATTAATGTATGTATCTCAGTTAAGTTCTAACATAAACCACGCCAATATTAAAACAAACATTTATTCTAATCAGAGAATTAAATAGTCTACAAACAAATAGCAGCCAGACCACCTTACCGGCATCATGGGATGTTGTATAGGGGCTACTTGAGCAATTTATCGTCCATTTTGAATTTATAATGAGACACCTGGACACCTGGTGTGTCTATTTTTAGATGATGAGTCTTTGTCTCAGGTCTATAGTTAGATCTATGGTGTGAACATCTGGTGTGTCTATTTTTAGAATAATAAAAGGTCCCCCTGAACAGCCCTCCATACACAGTTTCAGTCACTACACCTAGTGATTACACATTGTGGATATACCAGTGTATTTCTCATTGGATTATACTGTGTGCACTGGATTACTAATCAACCTTGGATTATACTGTCTACTGGGTTTATATTTTCATCAGCCTCTCAACTACACATCTCTGGAGTAATTAAACATTGTGTATATTTCTCACTGGATTACAAAACATCTTTGGATTATACAATGGAGTCACTACACATTATACTACCAGTGTATTTCTCTTTAATCTCAAAGCGAGCGCCCATTATCGCAGTATCAATTCCCGTCTGACTAACTATAACTATTAAAAATGTGAAATTCAAATGCATACAACGTCCTACCTTCAGTCCTTACATTGTAACACAGAATACATCGTAACACAGATTAAGATTTACATCATCATCAGATTGAACGAGTGTTGGGGATAAAGACTAGTGTACATGAAGTCAACTCACCTCTGTTCATCATATCCATTGTTAAGGGAGGCAAACAGTGGTGGTAAATCTAGATGTTTAGAGGGGTTGGAACAAGTAACCCATTCATGTGAAGAAACAGATTGATTCATACTGTACTCCAACAATGAATGACTCATTTGCCCACCCGTAAGTCCGACCTACAGCCATTCAAAGCTATGTTTACGGGAAGGGAATCCCCTCTCCCACCCAAGCATGAAGATTAAGAAAACAAGCGTATAATGGAGTGAAAAATAAAATAACTTCAAATACATGTTACCGAGTGTCCATGTTAATACTTTCTTTTAATTTGCCACAGCCTCCGAGTGAGGTGTGCCATGTTCATTCTGCCATAACATTGCCTCTCCCTACGTTCAATGAACCGAGAAGCATGACGGCCTTCACGCCCATTGAAGAAACCAGGTCATAGATCGCGTCCCCCGCCGCCATTTTGAAAAAAATGATAAATATATAGATTTAAACACATAACAAATTCCTAGCCATGCCCGCCGATCAAAAAAACTGAGTATAATGTTGAAACTCATCGCGAAATCACTCACAGCATGCTTCTCACCAAAATATCCCATGTAGAACGAGTCACCATGAACTTACTTTAAAATCCCACATAATCATATGAATAAATACAGCCCACACAGAATACAACCTATAGAAAGTTGATTACACATGACTCACATATGCCATGAGCCTACTTTAAAACTCACACACAATCACATGAATAAACACAGCCCGATACAACACACAGGATACGATCGATAGAAAGTTGACATGACTCCCGTTTGCCACGAATCATTAAATCCCAACACAATAAACACAGTCCAATCATAATCAGAACCTTTCCCTAGATTCATCGTTTTTTTCTAAACTAAAGCTTGTATAAAACCAATTTTAGTGCGTAGATGTACTCGCATTGTTAACATGTGTACTCACGATACTGTCGTCAACAACATTATTCACACAATACGTTCATACGCAAAAATACTCACAAATTAGAATAGAGAATGATCCATCACATAAATTCCACACCTACTGTGCTGTTTTAAACGGTCATGAAACCGCCAGAATACCTAAACACGCACAGCACAACATACCGGCTGCACACGGCGGTGAACAAAAGAGCATTCAAGCTTGGCGCCAACAGCCCTGCCTAAAACCGGTTCTGTCAAACTGGATCGCAAAGGGTCTATCAAACCGGTTCGCAAACGGTTCTGACTCAAAATGGCTACATGTCCAAACCGGCTACATGTCCAAAACGGCTTTGTAGACCAAAATGGCTTTACAACACTAGTGTAATAGCTTATGTATTTATAAACCGTTAATATATATATGTATATAAATATATTCATTACAGATCATTAAAATTGTTGTTGTATTCAATACAATGAACTGTAACAGTTGTTATCTTCAATACCATGAACTGAAACAGTGGTTATCTTGCATTCAATCAACAGGAATGACGTTTAAACTGAAACTTGTATGTCTGATAATAGTATGATCATGTTAAGAATATGTGGATTCAGTGAAATAGGGTTGAAATTGGTATTATAAAAACCAAGAATTGTACAACAGTCAATCCTACAGCAATACATTCAGTGAGTCTAGTACACTCTCAGCAGCTCTATGGAGGTGGTCTGTACATAATGTACATAATCGAGCCTGGACCAGACAATCCAGTGATCAACAGCATGAGCGTCATTCTACACCATGTGCCATGTGTCAACCAGCGAGCCTGACCACTCGATCCCGTCAGTCGCCTCTTATGACAAGCATGGGTTACTGAAGGGTAACCCAGGGTACAATACATTAAGAAACAAGAGAGATATACAGATTTCATTGTTTATTAGCTCCGTTTCGAATGAGTAGACATTAGGATAGGAGCTCTCCCAAATGCCTACTTTACATCTGTTGTCTTATTACCCTTCATCATCATCCACCTGTCCTTCACTCTCTTCATCAGATGTTATGTCTTCATCTTCGGTCATGCCTTCGACCCAAGACTTATATTGGTACAATTTTGAAATCACTTCATGATACATATTATTTGTGTCTTTTACTTGTTTCAGTATTCCTTCTGTCTTTGGACCATACTGCATATGGTACAGATAAGTAATAATCGGGCATACGTCTCTTTAAACGTGCTCCACATCAATTTGTTCAGTTTGGCTTGAATCATGTCTTCGTTTAAACCTCTTTTTATGTACAGCTGTCGTTTCTCATCCAAAAAGTCTTTATTCAGCTCACGTGTACGTGAATACATTTGTCTTATACCTTGCTCTTCGAGATCAGCCATCTTATTTTTCCTGTTGCCATGTGTGACATCGCTTAATGATTCAACATCATCGTCCTCATATTCCATTTCAGGACATTGTTTATCGTGTAAATGTCTTTGTAAATTATGGTTAGTGCTAAACACTTGACCACAATAGTCACAATCCGACAGAGGACGTGGTCTCTTCACAGGTGAGAAGTTGTTGTCTTCCTCCCACTGCCTTTTCACTTGGGGTATCCCAGGAGGACCCACTGAAGACTTTTCGGGACACCAGTTTCTTCTGTGTTTTTGCAAATCTTGCACATCTTGAAACACGAGTCCACAGGCATTACAAGTTGGCATGGTTGAGAGGTTTTCTTCACACGTCTGCTCACGCTGAACATCTAACTCGGACTGAATTGCCCTGGCTTGGAGGTGTCCTTTTAAATTGAATGCATTGGGACAAAGTCGCCTATGGGGTGGTGTTTGGGGTTTTAGATCAACCAACAAGTAGCCATAAGGCTTCTGGGTAGCTCCCTTTGAAATGGCTCCATGAAATGGTCTGTGTTACCTGGATACATTTGCCTGCGCCAAAGTCATGATGGGTTGTTGATGCGATAGGGTTGTTGAACAGAAGCAGATAATGACAGTTTCTTTGGTTGTGTGGGATCCTTACTGAAATACAAATTCTGGTTCAAAGCGATCACTGAGAAGATTACGATGATGACTTCCTTCCGTAAACAGATCTGTAATGCGTGGATCTTTGCTGGCAGTAGACATTAAGTCATTGAGGATAACCACGTTCACCACATGGGGGTCTAGAAATGCATCCTTTTCGAGATCAGAAGGAAGGCCTTGATGAAATTCCACATAGGGATAAACATGGGTTTGAATGGCATTATACAAGGGCTGCCATCGTTTGTAGAGCCATATAATACGTTCAGGATAAGGTTTAATGTTCATCCTTTCTAGAATCTGTTTCACTAAGTAGGTTTTCCCACAGGAGGTGGGCCCTGAGACAATCATGGAGAATGGATGTCGCAACCTACATTCTTCCAATGCCTGGGTAATACTTTCTGATGAATGTAGTTGCTGCTGCTGCTGCTGCTGCTGCTGCTGCTGCTGCTGCTGCTGCTGCTGTGGTTGTGGAGGAGGAGGAGGAGGAGGAGGAGGAGGAGGAGGAGGAGAGGGTTGTTGATGTTTCTGTCTTCTATGTCTCAACATATTGTCTGTCCTGGAAAAAGTCATATAGCACACGGGACACGTTGTTGACTGCATGGTGGTCCGAGTCTAAATGGCAGGGAACAATGTCTACTGACTGCTTTTTTATCTAAAAAAGTCGTCTTCCGTTTCTTCATATGGGAAACTGGGAGGAACTTCCAACTTAGATTCCCCTTTCTTCTGCATCTGAATAAGAGCCTTGATTTGTTCGACCACTTGTTGAGTAGGGGTAACGAAATTAATCTTAGGTTGTTCTGTGGTTTCTGGTTTTTGTTTGTCTTTCTTCCACTCTGGATCATACAGTTCCAAATATCGTTCAACAGACAACATGGCAGATTTTTCTCCTCCACGTGTTATAGAATGATAAGGGTCTCCTTTCCCTTCAGCCCTGAGCATGTAAAATCGTGTCCATTTTTCGGCATCCAGTACGAAGAGTTTGTATTGTGGATTATTCATGATGAAAACGGAGGCGGTCTGAGGTGATGCGTCACTGTCACTGGTCCACGGCTAAATGAAGTTAGATAGTCCTTGTGGCCTGTTATATAGATATCTTCATTGACCTTGGTATAGCTTTCAACATCGCTGCCAGGATGGTTCGGATGCACTACTATGACAAACTAAACCGGGTGTACCAAACATACTAAGCCAATGCTCTATCATACAACCAGGCATTTTGAATGGCATCATCTCTAAGTGCATTGACAAACTGTGGTTTCAAAACAAATACTACGATTGGCATGTTGCTGGCAAAAAGACTCTTCCACCTACTGTCTGTTGTCCACAGAGGTGAACTAATCTTCGTAACGCAGCTAGATAGTTATTTCTATCATTTTTCCTCAGGAAACGACGCCTTTCATATCGAGTCACTGGTAATCTTCCCTTTAATAACCTATTGATAATACCATTGATGGCAAGAATCTGTTCTCTGTTCATTTCTAAGATGTCTTGTCGAATCTCCTCAATGTCTTGAAACATTAACATGAACCTTAAAAATTCGTAATGCTTCAACACGTGCCTAGCCATACTATTTCAAGCAAACAAACTCTTATCGCGGTTGGGATCTCAGTGAGATTAGTATTGAGTCAACCTCTATTTATACTATACATAGACAACCAAGGCAGACATACTCTTAACATTGATTTATTTCCAATAGTCACACATTTTACATCACACTCTTGGTTGCAAATCCACATGACTACCCCAACGGGTCACCTCTTTCTGAAGGTACTCCCACCAGGGCCAAATACGGACAATGTGGAGACCATTTTTCATGTTCGGCCCAGGGATCATCATCTACTCCCAGTTCTTGAGAACGAGACCACATTGAAAAACACTTGCAAGCGTCCCTCTGATTAAGTACACAAATCCTGCCTGAGCCATTTGACTAGGACTCTGTTTCATCTGCACTGGCCAGTCTTTAAACGAATCGAGTCTTTTCTGGAATGAAGTCCATTCAGTCTTGATTGCACAGCAATCTGCAACGACAGTCTTGTCGAATGGGTAATGTCCACACATCCATGATACCCCAGACCAATGGTAACATCGTCCACACAGTACAGCGTCTAAACCAAGAATGGCTTTACACCCAGTAACTGTAGTCACTAGGGTTGCAAAAGGAACACTGGAGGTACCCCATCTGGTTTTGATGATCGTCCTGAAGCATACAGGGTACCCTGTCCTTCAGTTCTGGCACAAAGTCTGACATGACTCTTACACAATCTACCAGCTTTTCCCACTGATCTAGGGACAACAGAATACATTGGTTGGTAGGTATCACTCTACCACTTTTCTGATCATTCTCCCACTGTCGCACATCAATACCATTGTCGTCCCAGGAAGCGTACATGTTCCCTCCAACATGGACGTGTGAGTACCTTCCCTGCTGTTTCAGCTGCATGTGAACACTAGACACTTCCAGCCAGTGTTTCAAGGTAAGCACGATGCCTCGTTTGGTTGGGTAGGTCTTGCCACTCGGGTACACTTCGTACTTCCTCACATGAATTTCTAGTTTTCCATTCCATGTCTTGGCTGTCACATAGACGTCGTCCCCCAGATGTAAATGGCATCTGGGATTTGGAAGTGTTACCAGGACCTCGTTATCACAACTCTCACGGTGAATGGTTTCCATCTTCGAGGTAAACAGCTATCAGTAGAGTCAAGAACATAAGATCCGTACGTAGCCCGACTGAAGTCAGAATGATATGGAGGACTGTTCGAGGGGGACTTTATATACCCACCCGAGTCTAAAAATAGACCTGAGACAAAGACTCATCATCTAAAAATAGACACACCAGATGTTCACACCATAGATCTAACTATAGACCTGAGACAAAGACTCATCATCTAAAAATAGACACACCAGGTGTCCAGGTGTCTCATTATAAATTCAAAATGGACGATAAATTGCTCAAGTAGCCCCTATACAACAATGGGAACTTATTGTGCCTCAGCTTTCTGCATAATTTAAGCCCAAATTCGGGTCATGAATTGCTATATGAACTGCTCACTAATATTTAACACCAAAATATTATCTGGGAATTAAACATTACTTACCGTTTTATACATTGATGTTTAGAAAGATATACTTGTCATTTCCATGTCGCAGTGTATCGTGTTTATAACCTAACGTATGTATAATTTCACGAAGATTGTTCTTGGGCGTTCCACTCCACTTGTATTACCACTCTGATATATTCTTGGGTGAGTGAGTGAGTGAGTGAAAAAATTATATTGTGTGGAAATGCATTTGGAACACAGCGAAAATACGATATGAATTAACGTAAAAAAGTGATCAGATGTGTAATGGGCGAATAAACTAATGGCGGCATTGGCTGCCATATTGACAGCAATATTCGATCTATTTTGTGTAACAATTATTGCTTTGGACAAACTTGCAATCTACACAGTGAGTGAGTGAATATTTAACGTCACATCGGCAATATCTCAGCCATATCGTGACGAAAACACTGTATACAATACAAAAATGAAAACATTGTGGAGAGTTAAACCGGTCCACGATGAATAGTATACATACTACAGTATCACAGATATTACTGATATATTCTTGGATATTTGGTTAAAAGTCAGAGTACGGTGTCAGCAGTGGTGAAACTATATCTTGATAGAGGAACAGCTGTTTCCCCTGTGCGTCGGTTTCAAGTATATTAACGAACCTTCCCTTGAACAACGCCGCATTCAATTTTCACTGCAATATATCACTAAATTACGTTCAAATCAATCCAATCCAGCATACAATTGCGTTTTCAACCCTCTCTATGTAAACCTGTTTCCCAAACTGCCAAGCCTGGTTCCACCACTTGGAATCAGAACTCAACCACACATATCTACAGCTAAAATTGATCTCAATATCATAGCACCTTACCGACTCCTGTCTTCAGCACCCTGGCAGATGGTGAAACCACAGGTCGATCCTGCCCTCACTAAACTCAAAAAGTCCGAAACAAATCCTTTGGTGTTCCAGCAGGAATACAACCAGTTACGTTCCAAATATGACACCCATAGATCCATTTTCACAGACGGATCCAAGGATGAGGGCCAAGTTGCCAGTGCTACAGTCACTGGATCCAAGACTGTCTCCTCTAGGATTCCCGACAACAGTTCCATTTTCACTGCCGAGGCCAAAGCTATCTTTCAGCTTTGACCTATATTAAACAGCAGAATCATTCCAAAAACTTCATCGTTTTCACAGATTCATTATCTTGCCTTCAAGCACTTCAAAATGTTACTTCAAGTCACCCAATCATTCTGGACATTTTAGAACTTTACAACGACCTTTCTACTGGCCAATGTGACATCGTCCTCTGCTGGTTGCCGGGTCACGTCGGCATAGCAGGTTACACAAAAGCCGATTGCACCCTGGTATGGTGATCTACCTTCAGTTGTTGGCGATCAATAGCCTGTTTTTATATTGTGTTGTTGTGTATATTGATATATTTTTATGACAGCGTGCTAGTTTTAAATTAAGAGCTGTGATATTCTAGTAGTTTCACTGTCCTTCGCTGAGAGGTTTTTATGTTCTCAATTTATTGTTTCTTATATTGATATCAATTAAATTGTTCTCGTCACGATATGGCTGAGATATTGCCGATGTGACTTTAAATTTTAACTCACTCACTCAAAACCCGATGCTGCAGCAAAAGCAGCTCTTGACAAGCCCTTATCTCCACTGCTGATCGCGTACATTGATGTCAAACCCACTATCAAAAGCTATACTCGGGACCTCATGCAAGAAAGGTGGGACACTCAAGTAGGAAGAAATAAACTGTATGAATTGAAGCCAACAATTGGTTATACCTACTTGGGTTGTCAGTCAAGACGAGATGAGATAATTTCGCGACGATGCCGTATTGGCCACAGTCGCGGTTTACTCACGACTATCTGCTGAAAAACAGATGGTGTTTTGCCCCCAATGTGTGTCTCTTGCGTTGAGGCTTTCACCATCAAGCATATTCTACTTGACTGTGTGGACTTGTCGTCTGCGAGGGACTCACATTATAGTGCAACAAATCTGAAAGATCTGTTCTCACGCGTGAGCGCTCATCTGATAGTGAACTACCTAAGGGAAGTTGATCTGTACCATAAATTGTAACTGTGTAATGTGACTAACAAATTGCCTGCCTTTAAATTTAGTGCTATTACTCTTTCTGTTTTTCAATGACAATGTAATGAATATATGTTTTTGAAATCAAACTCATTTTGACTCTGCACTTAAAATGCTTATTAATGCAGACTTGTTCTCGTCACTATATGGCCGGAATAATGCCGTGACGTTGTGACGTAAAGCCCAACTCAACTCAAATCAATTATCAATGATGACGTTGACGTTTATGTCATCAGTTCAACGTTGTTACAGATATCTGTCGACGGGGTGTTCAGGAAGGAGTATCAGATGCGGCTCCCTCTCCCCGGCGTCCGACGTGTTACACTGTTAGGATTTACAGCCATCCACAGTGTCCAACTCTTCTGTTAACACTAAAAATGTGCGCTGTTGTGCTTTTGTACATCGTGATGTCGACACTTCAACACATATCACCATTGTAAGAGTAAAAAATATGGAATTTCAACTAATTTTTGTGTTTGTGTAATTTCGTTTTCCATCAACATATACGTTGGCTGTGTGACTCATCCTTTTACAAAAAAATGATTTCAATGACCGATTCATCTTTTTTTACAAAAAAATGATGAATAACAATTGCCTCAGGTCGCATGTGCACTAAGGTTCGTTAAAACTTGTGCTGAAAGAACTACACTAGCTTCCAGTGAGACAAAGAACAGTCTTCAAACTACTGACGTTTGTCCACAAGTCACTCAAAATATCATCAGTCTAAATTTCATTTAGTAAAGGTTGAGCCATGAAGCCCATGCCTGGGCCATTTCGATGGTTGATTGAAATTCCAATTTGTCCAGATAAAAGTTTTAATGATTGACTCTCGATCCCAAAATTCAAACGGTAATATTCGTTTAGAGGCATTCGTCATCATCTTTACTACTGGTGCATTTATTATCAATATATTACGTTTTAAGTCACGATATGGCTGAAATATTGCCGATGTGACTATAAATCTTAACTCACTCACTCACTTTACTACTGGTGAACATTTTGACAGATTCTTCATTGGTCACCTACTCAGAGCTATATTCAGAATTCTTCTTTGGTACACCCATGAGACGAATAGAACATAATTCAGAAGTAGACTAAATACCAACAAAGTTATTAAACAAACTTTACCGTTAAAAGAAATCGAATCGAGATCATTTCCTGCATTACTTTCGCTGAACAGTTGTATCGTTGTATGAGTAACACAACATTGCGGTAACATAAGACAGTATGTTCTTAAAATATCATTAAAGATTGCAATATATGATGTCTGAAAACAAGTGGAAATTTGGAGTAACATGGCGAAAGAATTGTGTGAGAGCCTAGGAAAATGGTAACTCCACACATCACATTCATTTAAAAAGAATGTTCAAATGGGTATTTTTTTAATTATTCATTAATACTCACTTCCATAGTACTGCCATCCAGTTTCAACTGTGCCGTCACTGATCGAGCCAAAGGCTTCAGTGTATACTCTGCACTTCCTTGTGAGTGAATTGTACAAGACCAGGTTACACAACTCCCGACGGTGACATAGAGGGAAACATTCAGCCCTCATGTCCACCTGGTTCATCTCTTCTATCAGGCTCCTGGTAAACACCAGATCACCCATCTGAGGCCGCCTGTAGAATGACACATTCTGATAAGTGTCCGTACTATTGGGTGACTGAGATAAAACTAATTGGAATTTGACTGTTAAAAACAAAATTTTAGCCGTTGAAATACGATCATGGTGGTACTTGTTGAAGAGAGCATTGTTTACTGATCAAGACTAGTGTTAACTGAATGCTTTATCCAGTGAAAAACATCTCCTGGCCTTTCACAGGTGGTCCTGTGATATTAACCATATCTCTTAAAATGATAAGGACTAACCGTTATTATTTCTTAATTGAATCTTGTGCACTTATTCCAAGTTTAAAGGCATTAAATCAAATGTGCCATCAGCACTCTCTGCCTGAGAAATTGATTATTTGTAGCACACTGGCGTGTCTTTACTTTACATCATGTGTGTAAGTGCACAACGTTCACAGCAACAGTCCACAGTCCATACACATGTCTTGTATGAGCAACGTCTTGTAATAAAGTGTGCATATATAAAAGAGCCCATTTGTAGCACTTTATCCTGAGTGAAATACCTTCCTTCTACAATCAAGCTATTAGCAAAAAGCCAAAGCAGCTTACCATCGAATGATTCAATGTTTATGTATCTCAAAGCAACATATTCCCATTACCATTAAGACCCTTAACTTCTGCCTGATGCAAATGTGTAACTTTTGAACATGTGTAACAGCTCTTGTTTCCGTACACAAGAAACAAACTTATATAGAACAGCTCTATGTTATTGAGTACGCTCGCCACGAGAATCTTACCTGCAGCAGAGTGTATCTATTCCATAGTTCTTGTTACTGTTTAACAATCAAACAAGTATGTATTCTAATCCTCATTTACTTCTCTAGGTAAACTAACAGTGTCTTTACAAATGCGTGCTACGTACTGGATATATAGAAAATATCACATAAGTACCTACTGATATCAATTACAGTGGAAACCCTCTAAACCACCAGCCCTCCAATCCGGCATGCTCTCGATATCGGCACTAGAATTTGGTCCCGATAGAAGCTAGGTAATTTATGATCATTCTCTAAACCGGCACACCCTCTATACCGACATTTTTTGTCGGTCCCAACGAGTGCCGGTTTAGAGGGCTTCCACTGTATATCAACAGGAATTGATGAAGTAACATTTAGTTGTTTTTTTACTTTCAATAACAGTGTTGGTATATTTGGTATCAGAGAACACCAGGGTGAGATTCTATTTATCATTGTAGAAACTCACTGTCAAAACGATACATTTATTTTAGGATCTCTCTCTCTCTCTCCGTCTCTCTCTCTCTCTCTCTCTCTCTCTCTCCTCTCTCTCTCTCCTCCCTCTCCTCTCTCTGTCTCTCTCTCTCTCTCTCTCTCCCTCTCTCTCTCTCTCTCTCTGTCTCTCTCTCTCCCTGTCTCTCTCTCGCTCTGATTGCAAAATACGCGTTATACTCACAAATACCTATTGAAAGGTGAGGATCCTCCGTTTTGTATCCCTTGTGATGAGAGAACCACGGTCAAGCATGTCCTGCTTGACTGTGTTGAATATTTCAATGTAAAAACAATGAAGGATCTTTTTAAAAGAAATTAATTTGTTTGATGACTTCTGATTAATGTGGTTTATAAATAGATATATTTTAAAGATTGGTTATTTCGATTAGTACCTTAGATTGTTAGTGGCTGTACCCTCAAAGGAGGTTAAAGTACTGTAAAATTATTGTCCTCCTGAGAGCGTACGTAAGTCCCTAAACTTTCAAAGTAGATTTTTCACATACCAAGTTTTTAAACTAGTTTTTTTGTTCATTTAGATTTCGGCTAAATTGTCCTACAATCACCAGCGGCTGAAGGGATGGTGTAAATCCAACAAGGGTCCATGCAGGTAGCAAAGGTACTGTAAGTCCCCATGGACCCTAGTATGGTGACCTACTTTCAGTTGTAGGTGATCTATAGCTCATTTCTATATTGTGTTGTCCCCTGGTTAAAGTACTGTAAAATTATTGTCCTCCTGAGAGCGTACGTAAGTCCCTAAACTTTCAAAGTAGATTTTTCACATACCAAGTTTTTAAACTAGTTTTTTTGTTCATTTAGATTTCGGCTAAATTGTCCTACAATCACCAGCGGCTGAAAGGATGGTGTAAATCCAACAAGGGTCCATGCAGGTAGCAAAGGTACTGTAAGTCCCCATGGACCCTAGTATGGTGACCTACTTTCAGTTGTAGGTGATCTATAGCTCATTTCTATATTGTGTTGTCCCCTGTGGTTAAAATGTTTTACACTATATTACTAGTTTTAGATGTTTTATCTGTGATATTCTAGTTGTTTTACTGCCCTTCGTCAGCAGTTTTTTTATAATATACATATATTTCATTTCAATATCAAATGTTCTCGTCACGATATGGTTGAAATATTGCCGATGTGACGTTAAATTGTAACTCACTCACTCACTCACTCTGATTGCAAAAGTAAATCCAGTGAAACTATTAAATATTTACTCACAAATCCTCCAGCAGCAGGCGCATCGACCCAAGTGAAGTTAAAATCATCAACGCCAGACAACAAGCACTATCGATTATCAAATCGAACAGAAACTTCTGTTATGAAAGTTAAAGGACAAATGTTTGAAGCGGTTAGAACTTAATGTGTATGAATGGATCAAGTAAAAGCAGAGATGAAACTTGATCTCCCAAATCGATAAATGAAACAATTATCTCAATCATGCATGGTATTGAACACATGCTGGAGGGTAGTTAATGGGTGTGATGGTATTATGGGCCCACATTACGATTATGTTGCATCATGTTTAATGTTTTAAACGATTCATGTATCGTCATGCCATCAAGACAATGTGTGCCGGGTAATGGCGTGAATGTTATGCGTCACCTATGTTACAGGTTTTGTAAGTGAGTTAATTAACAAAACCAATGCATTAGCTGTTTTTTTTAATTTCTTTGTCAAGTCTTCATCTCACAATGAAGAACGGACGCATTCGGGCGGTATTTAAGATCATATTTTTAATGTTGGCAGTCTACAAGTCGGCTTGATATTTCTGTAAAGACACACGACGCCATGTGTTCTTGGTGTCTTCGCTATATGGCTGAAATAACGCCGATGCGACGTAAAACTCAACTCAACTCAACAAACAAAAATATGGATCTAAACATTTTGGTAACTATCCGTACTATGTATGGTCAATGCCAAAGGGATGACAGATTTCATGAGCATTCAAAATATGCCGACATTTTCAAGAAACTTCAGATTTATCATGGAGAATCAAAGCCAATTATATTTGGTTGACCCTGAATAAATCCTTGTATATCACATGCACAGGCGGTCAGTATGTAGACTCATTACTACAGGGGGTCAGTATGAAGACTTCCTTATTTTGTAACGAGTAACATGTTTCCATACAATTGATTGAAGATGGAGGTTAACAAGTTTGAAGAAAGTGAGCATTTATTAAAGTTTAGAAGACCTTGTATGCAGTGTATACATGGCTGGCAGTTTTTGCTTGTCTGTGGATTTTCCAAAAGCAGTGGACTCACATTATGGAGCAATACATCTGAAGGATCTGTTTTCCTCGCGTGAGTAGGCATGTCACTTTGAACAACTGGAGAGAAATTGGTCGCTATCATCAATTGCAATTATGTATGTGTGACCAATTGTCAGTTTTTAAATGTGGTGTTATTTTATTTCTATTTGCAAATAATACTTTAATGAAGACATATGTAATTTAAGATTTGAAATTATGATGTAGTTGTCTGCAGACTTGGTCTCGTCGCTATATGACTGAAATAGTACTGGTGCACTTTGACTCACTCACTCACCCTTACGACAGGCATGGTTTGCTGAAGATCAATACCAAATGTGATTCGTATAGTGGGAGTCGAGCGTCACATGCCAGTACTATTCTAAGTTAATCGACTGACAGCAAGGGCAAACACCTATACGTGATGAATTTTTCAGACAAATTGTGAAGAGACCTTTGGAAACTCACCAATGAGTAATATATCTGCAAAGGATGACTTTAATAATAAAAAAATGTCTTACCACCAGAAACAATGTGTTATGATACCTAGATATGTCTTAATAATCAGCACATGTGTACCGAAATCTTGTCAATCCCTCCGGACATCGCATAATATCTCTTTCAGGATCGATATTCTAAATGTCACTCCAAAATTGTATGGAGAGAACCATTCAGATCGACTGTAGGTGGGCGAAAGCATTCTGTGTTAAATTAATTGACGGGTTTTCATATCAAACCACTGGTTTGCTACATGCCGTGACCTTTCCTGTCTCACTCGACAAATTATAACCCACATTAAGAAACATCTGGCGTGAGT